GCAACTGTCTTGGCATCTATTTATCTACCAAAACACATGAAAGGAGATAAGACTAACTTGACTATCCTTCCTTCCTGATCATGATTTAACCTGTGTGCTACTTAGAGCCCATCCCTTCTCCTTTTTCTTCCAATCAACAAAATCTTAGGAAAAAAGCCACAAATTTTTCAAGGACCCGCTCAATAGTAATTATTTTCATTAGCCCAGGAATAGAATATTAGCAGAGCAATTGGTTGTAGGAGAAGGCTCAGCAGCTCGTCTCACTGGTTGTACAGCAGTTTCAAGGCTCAATTTCCAAAGGACCCCTCCCTGACTGTTGCCCACTGAATGGAGAGGCAGTCCCTAGGGACTTTTCTACTTGGAATATAAACAGCACCAGCCACAGGCTCACCCAAGAATCCTCTCCTTCCTAATCTCCCTAAATTTGCCACTCTTTAAAACTCATTTCAATTTCAAGGCATATTAAGCATGTGCTGGGCACTGTGACAGAGGTTCTCTTATTTAATTCCTATAGCAACCCTGTGAGATTGGTATTACTGTTCCCTGTTGTATATATGAGGCTCATAGAGGTCAAGTGACTTGGCCATGTGAGAGAGTCAGGCTGCTGAGGTTCTTTTCCCAACACTAGGAAGCCTGTAGCAAAGCAATGGACGTAGCCAAGTTTTTATGAGCCATCTGGGCAGCAGGGGACTAGTCCTTACCATACAGACCAAGGGATCTGCTCAGAGTCCATAGAAGCAGCAGCAGGTTTTATATTTTTGGTTTGGTTTGGTTTTAATGGCTAAAAATCCTACAGGAATTTTGATTGGCCCCAATGACAATCCATGAGGCCCACCAGCCAGTTGACTCCTGACCTTCCATGCTTCTCATCCTAATTAATGCAAGGTCCTTGGATCACAGTGTGAGCATCAAGACCCTGTTAGAGTTAGCAATGACCTTTACATCTATCAGGCTTTTCAAAATATGTAAAACAGCTGTGCATCGGGAACGCCCCCAAACTCTCAACCTTGAAATACGAATAGATTCATTTTTCCTAATTATAGCGTTTTTACCAAGTCTTTAGGACATGACTTTTTACGTGGCTAAAAAATATTTGAGGAGCAGCTTTTTTTTTCAATTGCCCAAGCAAACCACCGAGGCATGCAAAATGAAGATTCTTACAAATGGACTGATTCCTTGGCTTAAAAAGAAACCCCAGTAGCAGAGGGGACAGAGAAAAGAGACTGATCTAAAAAATTTAGGGGGAAAGGGAGAATGTTGGGCTTCCATACTTGTGCCTCTGATACCCTTTTGTTCTCGTACCTCATTGTATTAAAGATGCTAAATCAAACACAATTGCAGCGATGTTTGTGTGTGAAAATGACAAAAGCAATGGGCTAAAATCCCAACCTCATCTTGAACCCTGAAGACTTTTATGGCTTTTCCTTCACTAGGCCCTTCCCCAAAGCACATTAAAGACCACATTGTTCAAAAGGGTCATGGTAGGTTTCATACCCCATTTTAATACAATGTAAATAGTAACTGAATTTCCAAGTTTTGTTAGTAATATTTGTATCTCTCTGGAAAATGCCCATTAAAAGAATTGATCCCTTGGTTTAAATATTAATACAGAATTATAATGTATCAGAGAGGCAAAATAATGGTATCAAGGAGGCACTATTTGTGATGAGTAAGTCAGGTTTTCTTTTTTATTTATACATCATTTTCCCCAGAAAAGGGGTACAGGGTAGAGAAGGGTTAAAAATATCCAGATGATCTGTGAAGTCTAAGTATTCTCTTAAGCCTCAAAACTGTCCAGGAGAATATGTCAGGTCTCAACTCAAAAAGCATAAAATAAATTAAACTTGGGGCTCACTTCAAACAGTGGTCTCTTTTTTCCCTCCTTATTCCATTTATACGTTTGCAAGTCACATTATGGACCCCCTAGTTGGTTTATGCATTTAATCCTGGAAGATTTCAAATTGGGAGAAGGATATTAGAGGTTCTTTATGATTCCATCTTTCACAGCTGTTACCATCAGTTGTCATCAATACTTTCGGGGGGTTTAGTGGAAAAGAGGCGGCAATGACTCCATTACTCTTTCCAACTGCCATAAAGAATTTGCATCATAAAAGTACCTACTGAATTACTGCCTTAGTCCTCTAAAAAAGGATACAGTAAAACAGGAATGTTACAGTTGGGCTTGGGAAAGGGGAATTCGAAAAATGAAAATCTGGGCTGGAGTAAAAGAACAACAAACTTGGTAGTGCTTTCAAAACATCATTTCATTTGGTGGAATTGCTCACTTTACCAAGCTCAGATATCTCTGGTTTAACACCCATAGAATATGCATTATGATGTGGCATGATATCTATCACAACTTCAGTGTATTTTAAAATAAGGCCTATAATTTTTGTAGATTTCTTGGTTACAAGTCTGGTTTAAACGATCTCAAAATAACAGACACAGAGCATCTGTTTAGCTCAGTTGAAGTTTCAAGAGCCAATACCAGCTGTTGGGGGAGGGCTTTCACACATGTTACTCAAATCCTAACCAAATTTTGGTTTTCTCATTCCCTTAATGATGCTTCCAACACCAACAGGGTAAAGTAAACGTGAAAATAAAAAAGAAAGAAGGAAAGGAAGAAAGAAATAAAGAAGAAAAAAGATTACTCAATGCTTTGATGCATGTGACTAAGACCAAAATGATCAGCCTCTCCAATTCAATACAGTATTAGCATGAGGACAAAAGACATTTAAAAATCAATTTGGAGTTATTTCTAGTGGGGATTGCCTGATCCTAGCAAGTTGAGGGATGAGAATATTCTCAACATTAAAAGGGCACCCAAGTATTTTTTCTCTTTTAAGAGCAATCTGATTTTTCAAGGAATTTCAAGGAATTCATTCGGTGGCATTGTTTTGGTTTTAGGTGTCTGTCCTGCCAGGCAGGGGCCGTACACAAGGGCTGCATCTATCTTGAAGTGCGCACAATGGCCTCTCTTGCGGCTCGCTCTCTGTTATTGATCCTTACAGATGCTCCAAGGCCCTTCCCCCACCTTTCTCCAAATCCCAACCCCCCATTCTGAAAGATAGCTTAAGAAATAAGACTTCCTGCCTAGCGACTGGCAGGGCTGAAAGACCAGATTGTATGACTCCACAGATCAGGCCTGCCACAGTGAAAGCTTGAATAGAGTTAACCCTCTGTGAACTAAAACAAAACATTTGTATGCCCAGCTGTGACAAAGGTTAATTTAAACGGACAAGGGCCCAATATCTAAAACCAGGCAATGCTTTTTTACAGTAACATTTTCACCGATCTCTTTTGTTAGTAGTTTGATTTTGCTTTTTAAATTTCCCAAGACCTCCTTTTAGAGGGGATAATTCACTGTGCTTTACTAGAATTTTGTATGGAAGACTCAGGTGAAAATTTTAAAATTCACTTCCTTGTTTGTATAATAGTTTTTGTTTTAGTACCATAAGTTATTTTCTGCCATTGAACAACTAAGAAAAATCGAAGTTTCAATGCTTAATTAAATAACAACTGAAGAAGAACTTTCTGTTCCAACCTTTTTTCTCTTTCAGAATTTGTGGACTATATATCACTAAGAGATTCAAGCTGGCTGGAAAAAAATCCAAATCCTCCAGAGCTATCCCTTCTAAACTCATGTAACCACTGCTCTGGTATCTCTGCCCACCCCTAAAATCCTATTCCAATGGATTCAGAGCAAATTTTACTTCTTAAACTATTCCTTTCTGGAAAAGCTAGTATATCCAGAATAGTTTAACAGAGAATTTCTGTGTATATTAGGGGAAGGAGAGGAAGATCTTCAAAATAAAAAATAAGAAGTCTTGCATGTAACTGATAATTTCTACAAACTTTGTTGCTTCCACTAATTTACAACAAAAAACAATGAAGTAATTGTGGCATCTAAGGTGCCGGGAAATAACAGATAAGGGAGTATTACTATAAAGTGTTACTACACAGAAGAATGTTGGTATGAGAGGGCGTCCCAATTCCCTACTTTGTGCATCTTCAGAGTGAGAATAAAACTGCAAAGCTGCCTATGGCAGATGTTAGCCATGCTGCAACGGACAGGGAAGCTGGGAACCTATGAAATAGGTTAACGCCCTAGAAATTTACCAACTACCTCAAAGAGTCCGCAACTTTTCCGGCTATAGTTCAGCAGTACATGCCTATAAGAAACAAACTCTTAGACTCTATAAACACAGCAAACAAATACATCAAATTTTTAATACTAAGATTCATCTTCTAGCTGTTTCTTTCGCTGTGTATGTCTTTCTTGGCTGGAATAATAAAGTTGTGGGGCACTGTGGTTTCTTACACAAGTAGGAGCTTATCTCCAAAAAAACGAATAGCAACACTAACTAGTTGCTATTAATGAAACACAGAAAGAGAGAGAAAGAGAGAGAGAGAATGAAATTATCCATTTTAAAAACAACCCACTTAAAAAGAAATTAGCAATGGCTTAGTCTTATACCCAAAACCGTAAAGTATCTAAGTTCCTCCAAAGGGAATGAGGCTGCCTTATCAACGGCCTCATGACCCTGATACTATCTATAATTAACAGTACTAAATAAGGCTTTGGCAGATGGTGAACTGGATTAAAGAATTTAAAATACAAACAAATTCTGTCAAGAGGTAAACAGAAGTTTTTTGAAACGTAAACTTTACCTAAGAACTGTGATATAAAATGAAGTTTAAGATTTTTTTCAAGTCACTATAAAATTTAAATCCAATTTTTCTCTTTTTTTCTGCTATTTCTCTTAAAAACATCAATCACAACAACCAATTCACTACAGTTCTCCTTCGCTTTTCTCTATTCCAAAACTTTTATAGGTAGTTGCTATGTACATGAAAACTTGTTGGCTGAATCCTGCCAAGACACAAAAAAGGAGTGGACTGCCTCCTTTCTCCCTCAAGGCTGCTATTTGCTTTAAACCTTCAAAGAAATTTTCTAAACCTTAGATTTGGGCTCAGGCTTAACCAGTCAGTTCCCTTACCTTCCCATGTCTCCATTTCATGCTTCTCAGAGTCTGTTGAGAAGTTCTTTTTCAGCCATGAAGAAACAGAGATTACAGGACAAGTCCAGCTAGATGACCACCCTTCCGACACTTGGCCAATTTCTCTCTCTTAGCCGGGACTACGACAGTCATACTCACAGGTCAGTTTACAAGCCGGTCATGTGATTAGAAAGTTCAGGCGCTAAGGTCACAACGTGTATGGAGTTCGTTTATTACCAAAGGTTATCTAAGTGGAACTGATAGACTTATTTTCTTTAGTTAACAATACTGCCTAGCATGTCTCTCTGAAAACTATTATGGGAGTATTTAACGGGAAATACTCCAGTCCTCTTTAAGCTGAGATTCTAAAATTAAAAGGCAGCATTTTAGAAGGACTAAGAGTTCTAGTATGTGGGGTTTGTTCTCCCCTTCCTTCTTTCAAGAGCTATTCTACACTACATTCTTCTATACTCTGGATTACAATGTTTAGAGTTGAAACCTTTGGCACAAGGAAAAGACAAAACAAAAACTCCCTATTACGCATATGTGTTTGGGAGGGGGTAGGGTTCCCTGCTTTTTGTCATTATAATAAACAATGACAAGGCAAATTCTTCTGAGAAAATTAGAACATGGAGCTCTGAGTTATTTGCAGGGTTCACTTTAAGTCTGGTCCTCAATTTCCACGCTCCAGTTATACATACTAGTCTGAAAGAACGTGGAGAAAGGATACTAGGTCCGCAAAATCCTTTTAGAAAACAAAGGTTAGAAATTGCATCCCCTGGCCCCAGCCAAAGGCTTAAAGCTTTAAAGTAAGCTTCCTGCTTCATTCCTTTAAAACTCTTAAGATCTTAAGCAATCGTTATGCTGTGCCTCCCTGATTCACGAGCCACACCAGTAGCTCACAGCAGAGTTCATCACGCTGGGTGTGCGTGCACACACTCAAACCTTGCCACAGAGCTGCAGAGGCTGGCAAATCTGAGCCATATGCTAATGACACATGATGTCAAACATTCAGCTATCCATTCAGACCTCAGAACACAATCAAGGGGCCAGTTCCACTGCGAAGGTGAGATGGCCCAAAGAGAGAGTGATTCCCGGGAATAAATGCTTTTTAACTGTGCAAGGTATTTCATCCTATGATATCTCCCTTTCTCTCTAGCCTAGCCAAGCACATTTTATAGCAGTGTTCCGGAAAAAAAAAAAAGACCCTTCTTAGGGTAGGAGTGGACTCTGTTACTTGGCAGCCATATAATTGAATGGCAAATATTGCTACCACTGTTAGTAGAGGGCTTTTCCAACCAATAGAGAGCATTAGGGTCATCTTACAAAGTAGAGCCTAAAGAGAAAGTGACCAGTGATTTAAAGAAGGAGAAAAGGCTATAATTTGTCTGCCTAAAAATAAACGTTCTGCCACTGCCACCACACACCTCACCCCAACACAAATACATCAAACAGCTTTCCCACCCCCACTCTCGTCCAGACAAGGGATTAATAAAGATTTTCTTCTCAGTCCTTGTGGAACTTAATGCAGCTCTTACAATTTTAGTAAAAAGACGATAAATAGAATGAGGGGGAAAAAGCCTGAGCAAGGGGAAAGTCCACCAACAAAAAGCTATTCAACTGGGAACACTCATTCAAAAGGCAGCTCTCTGTTTCCCTGAAGGATCCAGGTTTACCTGAACGCAGTACCGGCACACAACAGAGGTGTAGTAAGCCTCTTTGCTTTATTCCACCAAGCTTTGGAGGAACAGATGAAATGAGAAGCTCTTACTCTGGCTCCTAGTATCAAGACTGAAGCAGAGCCCTTGATTTTTAAGGGTGGGTCTTAGTAATAATCCTTGATGTACCCATAAGCCTGAGAACAAATTTTTAACATGGTTTAAGGAAATGGATAAGTCTTATCTTTGGATAGAGTCATATTTCTTCAGCATCCTCAGTCTCCCAGGTTTTTTGAGAGCGCTTTATAGATTCTCCTGGGAGGAAGGGGGAAGAGAACATGAACACGCACCTCAATGATCACGTGAATGCAAAACACAAACTTAACTAGGGCTCCCAGTAAGATTGTTAAAAACAACTACAGAGAAGAAAAATCATTTAAAAAGATTAAAATGACGCCTGGAATTTATGAGTGGGAAGGGGAGAAAAGAAAATAAGAAATCAGCAACATTTTCTACTTCCTAATACTAGCTTTGTAATGTAGAAAAAAAGACATGAACAAAATTCTACATCCAACCAACATCTGCAGCATTTGCATACTGCATATCTAATAGAATTCACAAGTTGAGTCCAAATTATGAATGGCAGAACCTTAGTTAACTGTGCAAGAGACTGGCTCCACTTTCATTTTAAATATGGGGAAACTGAGGCCCAAAAAAAGGAAGAGGCAGGAGTCATCAGACCAACTGAGAAAAAAAATCCTAGTCTCACTTCTTCCATTATACCACATATCTTGGACAGAAAAAAATAAAGCCTTTTTTTAGATGTTACTATTCAACATCATTTCCCATCTGTTTGCTTATTCAAATGGCAGCTTTCAAAGAAGACTGCAGATTTTGAAGCTAAAGGGGGGTATCAGGATGTAATATGCTTAGTTCTTCAATGTAAAATAAAAGATAGTAATTCTAGTAGCCACACAATCACTGAAATCATTTCAGCCTTATTCATTTTTAAGAAGTTTCAGTGTAAGTCTGATGCAAAGTAAAAGCCATGTGACCACTGTGATGGAGGGGGACTAATTAGAAAACCTCTATCCACTTTAGAAAACCAGAAATACGCAGAAAATGTTTTTTAAATTCCTTTTTAACCTTGCAAACCACAAAAAACAGGAGCCCAAGGTCTCTTGTTCTCTGGTCTCTGGTCAGATCCCTGATACAGACATTCTCTATGGCAAGGAAAAGAGTTTAATTCAACTAAACAGGAATAATGAAACACAGCCAAGTGAAGTCCATACTATCTGGGACTAACAAGTAAACTTCCTGAGTGCAGAAAAAGAACAAGAGCAACAAAGAACATACTTAGATATCATTTTCAGTTTTGCCTTCTATTCCTGGAGTTGGAAAGGGGAATTCATAGTTCAGGAAATAAAAAACAACTCAGAGCTGGAAACTAAAAATATTCCAGAAACTGGGGTTTTTCATCCATTCTACAAACATTCGTTGAGTGTCTCCTATGAGCTAGGCACTACGCTGGTTGAGGTGACAGAAATGAATATTATGTGACCCTTGCCTTAGAGGTGCTCACCGTCTGCCGACCTCTTCTCCAGCCTCATTTTCCATCATCCACACTAACCCAACTTGAAGTGCAAACACACTAAACAGATAAATGACAATAAGATGTTATAAGTGCTGTAACAGAGGTGGGTACTAAGTTAGGGAAACACAGATGAGGGAACAATTCATTAGAATGGAGTGAGATGCCACAGAGAGGCCATTTTTGAGCTGAACGTTGGAGTTCTGCAAGTTGACAGGTAGGAAAGGTGTTTTAGGACTTGAAGGAATGGGTAGAACTGAGAAGATCTCAAAAGACTTTCTAAATATCTCTGCTATAAAGTCAGGAATTAAATCTACATGCAGAAGAGTGACATGATTGGCTATGGAAGAAAAAGACTATAGGGTGTGATTTAAGAATAGCCTTATATATAACAACCAAATGCAAATCCTTTCTTTGAACAAATCAACTTTAAAAAGACATTTTTGAGACAATTAAGGAAATTTAAATATGGTTGGGTATTTAATTAGATCAGTTTCCCATCCACAAATTGAAGAACCTGGAAAGAGTGAGCCCTCCCTCCATTAAAAAATCTCTATAATACCCTAGTCAAGATTTTGGTGTGAATTTTTAAAACTATCACAATAAAGAACAGATTATAGTATGAATAAATCAGTCCCTTTTGAATGAAAAGAAAAAGAAAAGAACCAGATATACAGTATACAAACATACATGCAGCCAACCATTTTTCTCCTAAGATGTCTGAACAAGGAGGGACGTATTCTTCCCACATGGCACCTCTGCCTGTTTACTTCCTTCACAATTAAGGTCCAGATCAGCCCAGAGATTAATGCCAATGAACAATATAGCTGTGAGGATAGCAATAGCTCAAACTGCTAAGCAACATATGCAAATGAAGTAAAAAAAAAGATCAAAGTAGTAAAAAGCCAGACTTAGTGGCAGGGCAAATGGACAGAGAGCCTTTCTCCTTTGGTGCCCCTAAAAAGGAAGCCCACTTAAAATCCAGAAATTTCCAACAGACTCTGACCTCAGCCCTGACTTCTCAAGTTGTTTCATTTTCTATCCATCCACCTGCCTGACTTAGAGGGAAAAAAAAGTCAGATGAGGAAGAGGCTTCTGTCTACAAGTAACTCAGTTCTGTGTAAGCGAGGACTCTGGGCAAAGGCCTGCAAGATCAAAACCCCCAATAACTGTGGCATGATCTCACTGTGCCCAGTCAACGGTTCCCAGGCACCTACAGTATAATGGTCCACACTCCCAAGGCCCTTTACAATCCAGCCCCTGCTGATCTCTCCAGCTTCATTTACCACCACTCCCTGTAAGCACCCATCACTCCATCCACACTGATCTACTTGTAGTGCAAGTACGCTAAGCTAGTCCATCTGCCTGGAATAACTCTTCTCACTACTTCCTTATAGCTTCTACCACCACGTATACATCTTTCTGGACTCAATTTAAATATCACCTCCACTGTCAGGTATTCTAAGACTCCATCCTCCCACCCCTCAAATCAGAAACAGTCAAACCATACCCTTCTTCCATGCTGCCTGGATCCCTAAAATATACCATGACAATACATATTACCATAGTATTTTTATTTTACAGTTCTATCTTCCTTATTAATCTGAATGTACCCCAAAGAGTCAAGCCTTGGTAATCCCAGGGTCTAGCCTTGGGTTTAGCATATAATAGGCATTCACAATATGCTAAAGCAATTAGAAGGCTCTAGGTGTGTGTGTTGTCTGGGTAGGTGGTGTGCAGTTCTTTTATTAAACTTGATGCATTCATATTCTACTCCATTTTCACATTTTCTAACTCTTCCATCTTACTTCAGAAGGTTTTTTTTTCCCCTAGACAAACTCCACTTCAGAGTCCTTTATGTGTCAGGCCCT